TTTGTTTAACAATATTATACCAAAGAGGTTATACTTAATATATCAATTTGCATAGCCTAACTTTTTTATCAATAAACTTTGTAGATTTTCAGATTATTTAATTCCTTTTGTTTCCGTTTGTAATTTTATTTTTAAGACATATTATGTGATTGTTTCAGATAATATGTTTTAAAAATAAAATTGCAAATAGCGAATAAAAATAATTAAAATAAAAAAGTGTATTTTACAATTCCCCCCGGCCCCGCACCCCTTTAGCTAACCTGTAAATGTCAGCTTTGTCGAGAGATGGCGTTACGAAAATGGAACCGATTTATTACAAGGAACTTGGGCTTCTTTTTCGTTAGTATATTCTGTGACGTGGACGTTCAATGCAACGGAATGTTCGAGGCAGTGGCGGACTAATGGGGGGGCGGAAGGGGCGGTCCGCCCCGGGCCCCGTCTTTTAGGGGGCCTCCGAATCTTAATAAGTAATTTTTTATTCAAGTGGCAAACAAGGCCAATATGTGTTCAGTAGTTATAAAGCAGTTTGTAGGTGGAGTATGCAAACCATACGTACACGCCAACTATAAACAGTATAAATGGAAGCAGATACTTACTTAATTATCAATTATATAATAGTCAATACCATTTTCTATTTAGGAAATTAAATCAAGGGATAATTTTCTTTGTTTAAAATATCCAATAAATATTATTTTTTATATATTTTGAGACTGAATTTTCTTATTTTAGCTTTTAAGTTATTTTTCAATGGTTTCATAATTTATTTTTACTGAATAAACATATTACATTACAACCAATGCACAGCATAACGTATATTCTAGCTTCATTACCGATGATGAGCCGTGAAGTAAGTCTTTAGTATAACGGGAGCCACGGACCTGAGACAGCGAAGGGGCCCCTCGGATCTTGGAGGACTTACAAAATCGCGATATTTTGTCGCGGTATTTTCCTAGAAGCATTTTTAAGAAAAAAATATTTAAAATTTTTGGAAGAAAAAAACTACCTGTCAAAAAAATTTGTCCAGCCTAAAAGTCAAATTTAGTGATTGTGACATAAAGACCTTGTGACATAAAGAAAAGACATGTGGCTACCTATTTCAAAAATTAAATTGTTCAAATGTCATATAATAATAATGGCGGTAGCTGTCATGGAATTGAGCGATTAAAAAATGATCACAAATATTTTTTTTCAAATGGAAACCCACTTTTTTTTTCACTAGTGAAAAGGTTTTTCAATTCGTTACGTTTTAACTAGACATATTTTTATACCTAAAATAAATCGTTTTTAAGTTACTTAAGATTTAGTTTGAAAACGTATATTTTTCTTGATTTTATCTACCTTCCTTTGACATTACGTGTCAAACAGTCAGACAATTGAGTCAGAGCCAACTGAGCGTAACAGTTAGATTTCCGCCACTAGAGTAGTAGGAACAAAGAACTTGAAGGAAATGGACCGTTGACTCTGTTCATACTATCTTTACATTTATTAATTCTGATGCTTTCATATACATCTAATTGCCTGTAATTTGAGACTTGTTTAATTAATTTTAAATTATTAAAATCTATACAATGTTCATTATCAACAATATGTTCGGCAACGCAAGATTTATCCGGTCTACCATATCTTATCTGAGCTAAATGTTCTTTAAATCTAGTTAATATTGATCTTCTAGTTTGCCCAACATATTTCTGATTACAATCTTTACAAGAAATTTCATAAATACCCGACCTTTCTAGTGGAGGTGTTTTATCTTTTGGATTACCTAATAATTGTTGTAATTTATTATTAGCACTATACACAAGTTTATAATTGACATTCTTAAAAATTCCTTTTAGACCACGATCTCTATCAAACGGTATCGAAAAATATTTAGACGTATCTTTCTCCACTTGAAAAGTCGAATTTTCAGAAATCATTAACCTATACCTACGTTTTCTAATTAATTTATCAACTAGTGAAGGAGAATATCCATTACACTCAGCTACATTCCTAATGTAATCTCTTTCTATTTCATATCTTTCGTTGGAAAGTGGGAAACTAAGTAATCTATGAACTAAGAAATTTAAACTAGCCATTTTATGTTCAACACTATGATGTGATTCATTAGGAATATATCTGCGTGTGGTCGTATTTTTCCTATAGATATCAAATTCCAGGCATTTATTAGTATTTCTAATAACTAATACATCTAGAAATGGTAATCTGTCGTTGTCCTCAATTTCATGCGTAAATTTAATGGAAGGAAAACGATTATTTAACTTAGAAATAAAATTATCTATGGCGTCTGAATGTGTGTCAAAAACAGCAAAAATATCATCCACATACCTAAACCATACCCTTGGAAAATACTCAAACTGATTCTTAGCCTCCACTTCAAACCTGCTCATGAATAAATTAGCCAAAAATGGAGACAATGGATTACCCATTGCTGTACCTTCCCGCTGTTCAAAAAAGTTGTTATTAAATTGAAAACAATTTTGTTTCATACATAACGATGTAAGCTCAATATATTCACTCACAGTTTTGTTGTCGAGACCATTTGCGTTCAGTAATTCCTTCAAGTAGCCTAAAGTATGTGGAATTGGAACACTTGGGAACAACGAAGATACACAAAGGAGACCAAAATTTCACCTTCATGCAATGTTATATCTTTAATTTTGTTAATGAATTCAATATTATTTTTAACTGAGAAAGAAGGTTCATGATCAGGTAAATTTTCGAACTCCCTTGATAACCATTTTGCCAAATTATAAGTCGGAGAACCTACAGCCGAAACAATTGGGCGCATAGACTTGTCCGGCTTATGAATTTTTGGCAAAGCATACAATTTTGGTAATGAGGGATTGGATACTTGCAATTTCCTCTTTAAAGAAAGATCAATAAGGGTGTTACATTCTTTTAGAGTTTTTTTAACGTCTGCTACCATCTTAGACAAGGGATTCTTTTTCAAATTTATGTAGGGGCCATTATCGATTAAGTTGTTAACCTTATCATAATAGTCTTTTTTATCTAATATAACAACCTTATTTCCCTTATCAGCTTTTAGATAGAAACAATCTTTGTTACGCAAACTCTTGACAATATTGTGCTCTTTGTTAGATTTTAATGAATTACTTGAAACAATATTTTTTGATAACTGATTTCTACAAGCCTCTCTTGCAAATACTTTAGAAGCCTCGGGCAAGTGCTGAATAGCAGTTTCAACACCAACGACGATTTCCTCCAAAGCGCTACCAGAGTTGGGCAATGCATACTTTAAACCTTTGTTTAATAAACTGAGCTCTTGTTTATCAAAAGTCTGCGAAGAAAGATTTTCCACTATGTTTATGTCTCTTTGGAAAACATGTTTGTTTTTAGAGCTTTTTAATTTTTTAAACTTATTATTCAAAATGGACATTTTCTTAACAAATTTTGAATTGATAACCACAAACATATTTCTCTGAAAGAGACACCAACATTCATACTCTACATTAGTTAGCTTATAAGTAAGTTTTTTGTAAAGTCCATAGGCTTCAATTTCAAGCATACGTTTACTATACAGAAATTTGATTTCTAAATCAAGCCATTTTTGTTTTGCAATTTTCTCTAGCTTATCACTAACGTAACTTTTCGGAATATCAACTTTAATAAAACTAGGATGAACTAATAGACTACCGTTCGAGACGCACTGATGTTATTTTGGTTTGTAAGTTTATGTCATTGTGACAAAGAATGTTATTAAAGGTAAAGTAAATGTTTCTAACTAGTGTTAACTAAAGCATATTATTTTGTTTTTCTGTTGTAATATCCTGTGCTAAAGCTTTTCCTTAGATATTTATTGGACACTTATTTAATGGATTCGATTTATGCTATGAATAATTTCAGTTTAAAAGTAATCATAATAAAATCATTTACTGTCCATTCCTTTTGGTTAAGTGTGACAATCAGGGCCGTTTGATTTTGATTTTATCTGCTATCAATGATGTAGGCAACTAGGTCCAATATTAATTAAACAGGTTGTATTCTTAGCCAACCTGTCAGCTTTTATGTTTCCACAACGTTGTGTCTGTCTAATGTCATAACAATTGCGTGAACTACTCTATTACAAAGTATTCAGTTAAAGCTGTTTTTGATTGCCTATGTATTTATTTATTAACGATTACTAAAATCTCGTTATTACTATACCGGGTGCATCTCAAAACTGGCTCACCCCTATAACTAAATTATTTTTGCAGATAAAATAATCGATATTTGGTATGTTAGTCTATGACATAAATTAGGATTGATTGACGCATCACTATTGACACATCGACTAGTGACACATTGACGCATTCAATTATTTTCGGTCACTTCCTGTTTCACCGGAAATGGTTTATTTGAAATTGCAACATGCAATTCATAACGACAAGTTGACTCGAAATACCATGTGTGTCGTACCAAATTATTCGCAAAAAATGTTTTTTTTTTTCAAATATGCTAATGAACCATCCTCGTCCCATTTGAAAAAATTGAGGTGTGATTAAAAATACGATATGGCCACAACAAGAAACTAAAAACATTAAACGATCAAATCTATTTTTCGAGGCTCCTTGATTAAAAATTGGTGGTTTTAACACACGCACTTTTTGGCACTCTAGATGGAAATGTAAAATACAGTTTTGTTTTAAGCAAAAATGTCAAAAGTTATTCAGTGTCATTTTATATCCAATAAAAAAATACCAAGGGTGCTACTTAAAAATCAAAAGTAGTAGTCACTTCCGGTGAAACAGGAAGTGGCCGAAAAGAATTAAATACGTCAATCAATCTTAATTTATGTCATATACGAACATACCAAATTTCGTTTTTTTTTATCTAAAAAATAAAAAAGATATAGGGGTGAGCTATTTTTGAAACACACCCGGTATTATAGCTATATTAATTTCGTTAGCCCTAAGTACCAACTAGATATAGGTCACAATCATTAAGGTGCAATAACCAGTTAATCCCTCGCAAATAACGCAGTTTTTCTTGCTAATTTTCAGATCCATTTTTCATCGTCGTCGCCTGTCAACCAACCTGCAAAAACCTAGAAAAAAGCATAAAAAGCTAGTGAACTAGCTGAAAAATGGACAAGTTTGAAATCGAGACGTAATTAGACCGAAAATTGCACGTTCGTAGAACTATTATTATCGGTGTGACTGTGTGAGAGCGTAGCATGTCGCATAAATGGCGGTGATAAATTACGGAATTGGTAAAAATGGGGCGGCAGATGGGCCGGTATATTACCACCGCTTTCTTCATAATGGCCGGTGCATTTTTGGTTAAAACCCACTCGGTAAGTAACGTTATAGTAACGTAATTTTTATTTCATACAGTATACCCATAAAACACGGATATTAAGGTTTTACAGTAATAAGTTGGGTAACTGAACTATGTGCTTTGATGTATCTTTCATTTTTACAGTGATATACAGGGTGGTCCGAACTGTATTCCGGAAACTTCGGCAGCATACCGGGTGCGTCTCAAAAGTGGCTCACTCCTATAACTTTTTTATTTTATCAGTTAAAAAAAACAGATTTGGTATGTTAGTATATGACATAAATTAGGATTGATTGACGTATTCAATTGTTTTCGGTCACTTCCTGTTTCACCAGAAATGACTACAACTTTTGATTTTTAATTGGCACCCTCGGTATTTTTTCACTTTATTCGATAGATAATAACACTCTGAATAGAATGACACATCATATGTCAACTTTTCACATTTTCGCATATGGTTTATTTGAAATTATAACTTGCGGTTCGTAACAAAAATTTCACTCGAAATACCAAGTGTGTGGTATCTAATTATTCGTAAAAAAATGCTTTTTCCAAATATGCTAATAAGCCACCCTCGTTCCATTTGAAAAAATTGAGATATGATTAAAAATACGATTTGAGCATTTTCTAACTGGCCAGGACAAGACACTTAAAACATTAGACGATCAAATCCATTTTTCCAAGGCTGCTTCATTAAGAATTAGTGTTTTTAACATTAGATTGAATTTTAAAATACATTTATTTATTAAGCGAGAATGTCAAAAGTTGACATATGATATGTCATTCTATTCAGAATGTAATTTTCTATCGAATAAAGTAAAAAAAATGCCGAGGGTGCCATTTAAAAATCAAAATCAAAACGTCATTTCCGGTGAAACAGGAAGTGACCGAAAACAATTGAATACGTCAATCAATCCTAATTTATGTCATATATTAACATACCAATTTTCGTTTTTTATCTGAAAAAATAAAAAAGTTATAGGGGGTGAGCCACTTTTGAGACGCACCCTGTATTAGTTCTAATAAATTTAGTTACTTAAAAAATCGTCGATCATCGATAAATACAGCAGTGAGAGACGCACTTTTGAGACGAACCCGGTATACTGCAGATAAAAATATGTAAAAAAGGTCCTATAAATATACGTCCTAAAATACTTCGTTTCGAAGATACAGGGTGTAGAATTTTTATTTCGATTTTTTCCAAATAATTTCTGAGCTAACGATGATCTTGATTGGCGTCTGTGAGTTTTTTGACATGAGAAATTTGATTTTGATGTCAATATGATTCCTACTTGTAGATGGCGCCACCTACATATTTTTAACTGGTTTGAACAGTAATAACTTTTCGTCCGTACCTGTATAAAAAATATACATTTACAACATTTTTTACGTAAATCGTCTTTTGGTAAAAATCGCTACGAGTAATTACCTATCAAAAATATGAGGCGTTGCGGATAGTAAGGGCGAACTCAACAAAAGCTACTTTTGAGAAAATTGAGTTTAAAGAAATTTGCAGACGGGCGAATTCAACAAGAGGGCAGAGTAAAATAAAGATGAACTGACAAGCAAGCTTACTAAACGAATCAGTCACGCGCTGCCAATATCGGCTCCGCGCGAGATTGTTGAGTTCGCCCTTACCACCCGCTCGGCTATCGCATATCTGAAACTTTCGTTTATTTCAAAGTGTTTGTTTGAAGGCGAAGCAAGGGCGAAGTCAACAATTCGACCGTTCTATGAGGTACGAATTGTAATGTAAAATGAAATTACGAAAAAAAAATTTTTTGATACAATGTTGAGTTCGCCCTTACTATCCGCAACGCCTCATATGTGTATAGTCTAAACGTCAAATTTATTGATTACCACAGCCACTGTGCTATAAAGAGAAGACATGTGGCTATCTATTTCAAAAATTAAATTGTTCGAATGTCATAAAATAATGGCCGCAGCTTAAAAAATTATCATAAATCATTTTTTTTCAAATGAAAACCCACTTTTTTATTTCACTCAGTTCGTTACTTTTTGACTATACTATACCTACATGTTCCTAATACCTAAAATAAGTCTTTTTTAAGTTAATTAAGTTTTAAGGCGTATATTTTTCTTGATTTTAACCAGTAACCGGTATTTCCGGAAGTGCCGCCATATTGAAACTATTTTTAATCGATAGATCTTGTTGGAAAACAATGATGTGCAAAAAATGTCAGATCTAAATATTGTGGTTCTCTAGAAACTTCTAATACACGTTCAGCCTGGGGCACCCTGTATACCATGTAAAACAAATTAAATTTTCTAAAATTTGTATTGTGTAACATGACAAAAAAACTAATCAAATATGTTCAATGATTTTTTGAGATGTGAAATAATTTTTTCTTAAATTATAATTAATATTTAACATTCACCTGAGATTAAACGGAAACATTTCCGAAATTGGTCGAACATATTTTGCATTAAATTATTCATGTATAACGCAGTGAAAGTAATAATTTTCCATGAGGCACAGTACAATACCATATAGGATAAATTAACTGTTTTTACGTATCCATCACGGATTCGAAACATCGAACTCATGACCGAATAGCTTTTAATTTTTAGCACCTATTGTTATGCGTCCAATTATAAAATTAGTTACACACACACAGAGTTATTGTGTTAGGCAAGCAAAAAAAGGAATCAGAGTAAACGCTATAATTATGGCAATTAAATTATGTTTTTATTGGTAATTTTTAATTTTATCTAGGTATTTATTCAATGGTTGCTGAAGTTAAGAACTTCAGCAACCAGCTTAGAACCGTTTATTAGGCACTTTTTCAGTAGCACCTCAGATATGCCCTTCCATTCTGGGGTACGTGTTGTGCGACTCAATTTGACCACATTTTCAAGCTCCAGAAGAGAGCTGTTCCATATTCACTGGGACTAAACAGCTGAACTCATCGCCAGGACTTTTTTAAAAAATTAAAAATATTGACTCTTACTTCCTTATTTATATTTGAATATTTGAATCCGTTTGCCTAATACGTAAACATGTATCAGCTTCTCAAGCAAGGCCATCTCACACTTATCCGCTCAGGAACGCGGAGCAAGATCTTTATCTACCTACCCCACGCTCAGAGTTAGTTAGTTCAATATTATACAACTCGAAAAAAATGCACAATCACCTGCCATTTGAAATCAAATCCGTAGCATCGTTTTCTTCATTTCGCAAAGCATTGAAATCTTATTTCATGACAAGGCTTTCTACGCCGTAAATGACTTATATTTTGATAATCCAATTTGATCTTGTAAACACTGGTCTAATATTTACTATTACTATATTTACTATAAAATTACTAAATATTTTTGAATCTTATTTTTATTTTTTTATTATTTGACATTGTCAACATTTATAAATGTTTATTTTAAACAACTATTAGTTTAATACCGGGTCACCAAGGTTTTTATTTTTTTAATAGCATTTGTCATATTTTAAAATATAATTTTGACTTTTGATTGATTTTTTGAAGTCTTTTATATGGTCCAGTAGCAGCTCGTGACCCGTGGGACTGGGTAGGTGACAAAATTTTAGTTTCGTTCTCTTTGTCTCCCTCCGTTCCCAAGTTATTTATAACTCCTTCCCATGATTCACTTTCATATCTCCCTAAAGCAAATGAGAATTTACACAGTTTCTTCTTCACGCCTGTAGCATTAGATGAGCTCCGTAGTACAATTAATAGTATTAAAAACAAATCCTCATCTGGGACTGATGGGCTTACTCTCAAAATGTTCTCTGAACTTCCTGAATGCACATTAAACCATCTTACTACTTTAATTAACGAGTCATTCCAAAATGAAGTTTTTCCAAACTGCCTTAAGACAGCAATAATTATTCTTCTGTATAAAGGAGGTGATAAAGATGAAGCTTCGAACTATCGGCCAATTGCACTCCTGCCCACATTATCTAAGATCATTGAAAGATTGGTTAAAAAAAGATTTCTATCTTTTCTCCTTAAATATAAAATACTTACTACCCATCAATTTGTATTTCTAAGTAACAGTTGCACAAATGATGCTATGTTCGACCTTTTTAATAATGTATACTCTAGCCTGAATAACCATCACTCTACAGCTACAATTTTCTGTGATTTCTCTAAGGCTTTCGATTGTGTAAATCATAATATCTTAATTAATAAATTGCAATACTACGGTTTCGGGGGAGTGCCGCTCGAATGGCTTAAGTCATATCTTGGCAACAGAAGGCAGCTTGTGAGGATTGATACGTCTATGTCTTCTTGTAAGCCTATAGAATGTGGTGTCCCTCAGGGTTCAGTACATGAGCCTATTTTGTTTCTGGTGTTTATCAACGACATTGCAAATCTAGACATTAGCGGTAAAATCTGCCTCTTTGCGGACGATACTAGTTTCACTTGGAGCGGCCCAGATGTTGCGGCACTATATGATACTAAATCCAGTGACGCACCATTAAGTCTTGGTGCGATCTCCTATGCCTCAACCTATCAAAAACTAAAGTTTTGTCATACAAAAGTACAATACAACCTTTTGTACTTAATAACACCACTATAGACGTCGTGAACACCACTATAGACGTCGTGGACTCTGTGAAATTCTTAGGACTTGTTGTAGACAACTCGTTAAAATGGGACTTTCACATCAAAGAAACTAAGCGCTGCCTGTTTTGCGCTAAGATCCTTCCAGGTTCAGAGGAACTTAACTTCTCAACCTCAGTTTCTAAGGAACTTAACTTCTCAACCTCTAGAATAGCCTATTATGCCCTTTTTGAGTCACAACTTCGTTATGCCCTTCCATTCTGGGATACTTGCTGCGCAACAAAATTTGATCGTGTTTTCAGACTTCAAAAGAGAGCAGTTCGATATTTATTGGGACTGAACAGTAGAACTCACTGCCAGAATTTCTTTAAAAATTTGAAAATACTGACTCTTCCTTCTTTATTCATTTTTGAATCCGTTTGCTTAATCCGCAAGCACATATCTGCTATTCCCGAAAGGCCATTTCATAACTATC